TACTACATTTTTAGAGCTCCCAATAAAGACAATTTTAATACAGGCATTTCCCACATGTTAGCCCTCCAACCAAGGTCCTGTTTTTACCAAAATACCATTCCACTCAACTATCTAGTAGTTTTTTATCCTAATACGACCTTTAGTACTTTTATTGCCCAATGGCTTCCCTCGTCCCCATCTAACACCAGCAACTCCTTCCCACTGCCCCTTTCCCTACATATCTTTCTCCTATGGCTTTTATGCACATCAAGCTACTAAATATATGCCCGGTCCCAACCACTCCGCTCTCAATTTCAAACCTCGGGATTACCGCTTACCACCACTAGCTTCGCCCATCTGTCACTTTTTAAACCCTGCCTATTCCCGCCATCATCTCACTGTTTTACCCGAGCTTGAAAAAGAGGCAAGACCTCGAAGCGCGTCGCTCTTGTCCGCTTTGATCCCTCTTCACCTCACCATCAACTCGATCTTCGGCATCTGACAGCTGCTTCCGTACACCGTCCCCAGCAGACCTGTCAGAGACCGCTCGCTGACACACACAGCCACGACTGCCACAGCCCTATCCAATACCCGGCTCCTGTCTGATTTGATCCCTCTCCAACACGCCATTGGATTCGATTTTCGGCATCTGTCAGCTGCTTCTGCACACTGTCCCCAGCAGACCTGACAGTTACTGCCCGCTGACACACACAGCTGCGGCTGCTACAGCCCTGTCCATTGCCCGCTGTCCATTGCCGACACCACAGCGATCTCCCTGCCTCTCCTCCACACCGCACAGACCCCCTACGGCACTTCGGACGAAGTCCCCTCTTCTTGTCTACACTCTCCCGTGGATGTACCTCTTGGATTAACACTTCGATTACAGTCGGAACCACACCACGAGTGCCCCGATCCTCCATACCGGCCGTCCATCTCCAGATCCTGGCAATCACGCGTAAGTGCCACCACCTTCAGTCTTCATTACTACTTCGTTAGCTAGCCAGTGTTCTCTGCACCCTTTCTTGGTTTCTTGAACATTTACATTTCACAGGTTCTCCTCCTGTTTTCCAGGGCTGCATACACGCCTCTAAGCCAACTTTTTGCCCATCCGAGAGCGCTGTTTACATGTTTTTTCTGGCAAACAAATTATCCACTGACTTATGTCTCTTATGAAACCTATGAGTAAGATCTCTCTACGTTACTGTCCCTATTACTATCATGTATTCTCTGTAATATCAAATAATTACAGGAAAGGTATAACATCTTTGTAATGGCCACAGCAGCTCATTATAGCTGGAACTTCAGGTGCAGTTATCTTGCAGCCAGAGTGACATGAGGCAGAAAGAAACACTAATCTGATTTATGATGTAACGACCCACAACTAAAGTATTGGTTTTGCATGCGCTGACCCTTTTTAAGATGTTTGGTATCCTAACAAGTTCAGAACTCTACTTTTAGCCAGAATAGCTAAAGTTACTGAGGACAATACTTCAATACCTAAAATGGTGACCAGTGGTTCAGCGCAGAATTGTTGGTAATTGATATTATCCCTGTTCTCTTTGAGCAGAAGAAGATGGAATGAAAAAAATCTTGGTGTAACTGACGATAATAAATTTAATGAATAACTGCATTAGAAATCCTGGCAAGCTTTTAAAAGGCACAAAGCCACATTATAGGACTGATGACCTTAAAGCTTGCTTTGATATCCTGCACAGTTGGTCATTAAAATTACTACCCTCATTTACTTTTGCTATTCTCATCAGAATTACATTTCTGGATGTATTCCACAGCGAACACTGGACTACAATTCAACCCGACAAGCTCAGGTTTTTGCGGTAGATGATATAAGACGGGATGGCACATAATGACACTACAAGAGTACACAATACATGATGTTTCAAATACCTGATCATAGGCTGCTTTGGAAATGGAGGCTGTTCAATATTCTGGTTTTGTGAAGGGTTTTTTGTAACTTGTTTGTAAATATTTCTGGCAGTCACTCCGATCCATAAGACTGTGCACAGGCTAGAGTAATGTAAGACAATGCCAACCTAGAGAAACAGAATGCAAGTTAGCCAGTGGCAATATACATTTTCTGAATTTTAGACATAAAATAACATTATAATAAACAGATGTCCAGTACTTCTAGGCATCAAAGCCTCCTACAGCTCTATTTCCGCACTACATATATAATTCTATCATCATTGCCAACAACAAGAGGTTCCAGTTAGATTCTGCTGGTATGTCAAGGCTTCTGGTTCCCAGTACTCTTATATTCTTAGCAATGGTTTCTGAACACACTGTCAGGTACATTCGACAAGGCAAGCTACAGTGTAAAAAAGAACATTACTCTAAACTAATGAGAGATAAAATATGATTGGTTGCTGTAGATTAATACCTAGCAAAGCAGTTCACTCTGTTTTCTTAAAGTCTACTGCAACTATTAAGTCCTACCCCACATCCTTTTGCTGTAGGGTGGCTACATTAGAGAGTTTGCTGTCACTTGCAGTGAATCTCTGAGGCCCTTCCTGGCACAAAACATCTCTGCTGCTTCCTTTATAAGCCTGAAATAGAAAGGTATTTTAAGTCTCTGTCAAAAGGGTTTGGCCTTAAAACCTGCAGTGGCAATGTGGACTCTCTTTGGGACACGCAGGAGGGAGGAACTAATGTGCTTTTGCTCCCAGTTGGGACTCTGAGTTCCTAATTTGCTCACACAGGGCTTGGCGAACAAATTGCCTGGTAGCTAAGTGGCGTAAAAAATTGGGATTTGAACTGTTTGGGATATATTGAGTGAAAGGAGGTTACTTTCTTATGCTGGCTATAGAAGGGACATTCCTGAAGACCTATCCAGCAATGCTTGTCCTGACTGTGATCACAGTGTTTTTAATGAGGAGTCTTTGTAAGTGCAATACACACTTTTTCATGTTTTTTTAAGAAATAATTGTAATCTGTGCTATTTGTTGCTCCTGTGTTTTACTTTTTTGTTCACAGTTTTTAGTACCCCTGGTTATTGTCAAGGGTTTCAGTGTGACTACCATATTAGTGTTTACCATAAGAGAGAATGCAAGTTTCCTGGCTGTCATGCTGATGCTTTGGCTCCAATGCCGTCTGAGCCACTATCCTGGAACAGGTATAGAGATGAGGAATTCTGTGCAACTCTATGCCAGACACAGCCAACTATTTTTTTCAAAAGGAAGCCACCAGTGAAGTCTTTCTAGCCACAGTTCATCAAACCCTGTCAATCAGCAGCCTTTCAGCCTTCTGGTCTTTAATGTATATACAGAGCAAGCAAGGGTGAGTTGAGCTGCTGCAAAAAGAATTTGAATGGCTTCAGTGCTTCTGCTGTAAATTTTCAGGATAAATTGCTCCACAGTCCTGACAACTACAGAGGTCACTGAGGGCGTGTTGTAAAGCTTGTGAAGAATATGTAAATGTGAATGTCTATAGCCTTGCCACAGGTGTCCTTAGGTGCCACTAAGACTGATGATCTGAAGAGCTTATGGCAAGATGCAATGATCTACAGAGTGTCAATCTGCCCATACACCCTACAAAGCAGTCATAACAGCAAGCCGGTTTTAGGTGCCCGTAGGCATCAGCATTTTCCCCTCTTATCTGTAAGAATTCACAAAGCATAAGTTATGTCTTACCAAGTCACAGAGACTTTATAAATGCAGGTAACTAAGGGCAAGTTACATTTGCATTTTGTTTTTCATAATAGCAAAGGCACCCTAACAAGCTATTTTTGCTGAATTTCTAGATAAGTCTAATCTTAAATTAATAGAATAACTCATAGGAACTACATCTTATCCTGACACCCATCTCCTGAAGTTAAATGGCTCCGATCATCTGAATAAAACAGAGTAAGCAACATATTTGAAAACATCACTAATACCAGCCCCTGTTTCCCAAAGAGCTGTTCTAACCGTGAGCTGTTTTAATGACTTTTATGAATGCTATTAATGTGAAAATCAAAATACCAGCTCTGACAAGATGCTAACATCTGTGCTCAGAAAATAATTGTTAGCTATCCCCATGGAAACTGCAATTAGAGTTTGATCCAATCCGCAGTGTTCTTTTATTCCATTTATGCATGCATCTGACTTTTTTTTCCCCTCTTTTTTTAAACAAGGAAAACAGCTACATGATGTAGTGACAGGTTAAACATTGTATTTCATGGGAATATAAAGAGAACTGTTAGAAATTGCTACCAGAAGTATGCATTGTGCATTGTTAAATGGCTGCACTTCCAGTAGGGTTCTTTTCTAAACTATTTTTTATGCTAACTGAGCTGTACTGAAGGTTTTATTACCGGTTATAATAAGAGATGTTGTTTAATCTGTCATGCAAAACAGACAGTATTTAAAGAGAACATCCAGTTTCAAGCAATTATAATGACCATTGCCTACTAAAATGAATGAATCTGTGGATTTAGGTCTTGGAACTTGACAAATAGGCAAGACTGCAGATGTGATGATGTCAGTCACTTTTTGCTCTACTCCTTCAATCCTACTATATCAGCAGCCACTGTAGGCTCTTCCAGTCTTAGTCAGCATTGCCTGCACCTGATCTTCCCTCATTACTGACCGCAGGTGCCTTGTTCTGCGCTGTGTCTTTATGTGGAAATGCATATTGGTACAGATAGGGCTTTATTTCCTATCAGTACCTCCAGCAAAAATAACAGTAAGCAGTACAGTAGTGACACCACCAAATCTTACTCCATATCTCTTGAGACTTGCAGTCAGGGGCAGCAATGCTTTAATCTCACACTGAAGAGCTACAGCTATAAGGCTTAGGCACAGGAGTGCCTAAGCACAATCACGTGCCAGGAAGTGCACTGGTATTTTTCAGGGGTTAAGTTTAAGGATTAAGGATTATTGGTTCATTTTTTAACCTAGCCTAAGGATTGTGGTAGGAGAGGATTACATATTAGGATGTGCTTTACATTTAAAGACTGGTAAAAGAGAAATTTAGAGAAAACTGCTCTTTTTTTACTTTTCTTTTAGCCCTGTGATCTATGCCGTGAGGACTACTTTGCCAAAAAATAATGTACCACACCCAAATACACTTAGCAGAAACGTTTTTTCCTGGATTTCTTTTTATTGGAATATAACATTTTAGTTATATAATATATATAGTTATAAATCAAACCTATTCTGCACAGCACTCTATTGCTTTTATCTAGCTGCTTACCTATCAGCAGCTCCAGGTTCACGTCTGTCAGAAGGGCTGTCAAAAGATGATGCTCAAAAAGAGCCAATCAGTGGCAATGCCTGCACAGATCATGCTCTTTGAGAGTCCACAGGCAGCAAAGAAATAAAGTGAAGACACTTAATCATGGAGTCATGTGAACCTCACTACTTGTGTGGGGGAAAAGGGGACCTTGCATTCAAAATGTAAGGCCTGCATATTCTTTAGAGCCACCTCTACCAATGTTAAAATGTGACATAGCACATTAAAAAATGTATATTAGAATAAGAAAAAGATGTATACTTGCATTTGGATGCCTTAAAGCAGAACTAAACTTGCATTTTAAAAGAAACACTGACAGGTAGGTTTAGTATGAATCTTCTGAAAAGCTTTTATAAGTGTACACTGAGCCTCACATGCGAACTCCTGTGTGTATGTGCAGGAGGCAAGTTATCCTTGTCCTGCCTGTCAAGATGGCTTAAGGCTCCAAAGAGGACCTGGAGAAGATGAAAGCGATGACGATGAGGGGAACTATGGCCATTTCAATGCTGGAGAATGGAATCTTGGTAAGCATACCAAATATTCTTAGCTTTTTTTGCACATAATGGCAAAAGCTTCCGGGGCCCCCAATAGTCCTTTGCGGTTTAGTTCCTCTTTAATGTGCATGCTGCAAACAAGCTTTATGTTAAAAAAAAGTAGCATTACTATGGGCCTATGATGACAACGCTCAAAGCATGGTCAAAGTAAAGGAACATGTACTCATTGAAAAGTTTCTTGGTATCCCCAATTAAAAGAATTGTGTTTTAAAAGAACAGTTATCCTTTAGGTAATGTCAAGCAGGTCCAATTAGAAATACATTATACAGACTTTTGTTCAAAGCATGGCAAATGTCTCAACATAATTAAACTGCAGCTCGAATTTCATTAGGATACTTTTTTTTTTTTGTATCACATTTATAGAACAGTCGTATTTTGCGTCTAACAAATTAAAGTAAAACTGATCATAATTCACATTTTTTTTGCCTTAACATTCATACTTATTTCGTGTCCACGACTGTGGCTAATGCAGGAGACAGGGAGGTGTGTATTTATAGTGTATCTGATGAGGTGAAAGAAGGCAAAGTGACAAGAGGAGACCATTTTTTACCTACAGCGATGAGATGACTCAAACTAAATGCACTGTGTCAACTTCGTTTTGCTATACATTTTTTAGCTGTAAAAAGGATTCAAAGCACAAAACAATAAATTGTCAAATGTATTAAATTAACCAAGACCTGTGCAGAGATTTCTTTTCAGTGTTTTAAGTGGAGGAATACACGGAAACATTTCAGAATGTTTTGTTGTTTGTGTGGCAAGTTTAGTTTTTTTTTTCATCTAAGGCTTTTCAAATTATTATAAAGTATAAATATCAATATAAGAAAGCAAAATGCTGATACTCACAGAAATCAATTAAAAAAACATATTTAATTGTTCGGAGTGTTTTACTCTAAAGTAGAGATCTGATTGTTCGATTTCAGTCACTGTACATTATCACAGCTCTGTGTATTACCGTACTTTCAAGTGTTTTATCTGCTTTAGCCACATCTCATCAGTTACCCCAAGGCCCATCCCTGTTCTTCAATCCCTTACTCCACTGTTCTCCTGGTCTCCTAATTTACCTCTGACAATTTGGAGAACATGTACTGCATGGGCAATTTCGGTCAAGCAAATTGGTTGCTTTAGATTTGAAATCTCATGTCCGTTGTATTTCCATGAGCACATTTTGATATCTTGATTGATGGGCTTTGTGGCTGTTCAGTGTAGCTTTCTATTATAGATGGTGTTGGACCAAAAGATATTAAGGACCTTTTCACCATAGATACAAT